AGAGTTTATTACCATATTGTTTGAGTTTTATCTTTCGAACTCAATCTGATGTCTATCCTTACAACTCGTAATTTGATCAATTCTTATCTTTCTTTGCTTGGACGATAATGAATATCACCATCATAATTATTTAATAAAGCTAAACAAGATCTCTAGCCAAAGTTTCCATTTCTAATTAAACATGGGTTTGTAACTATTGTGATATGTGTACAAAATAAACTTTGAGTCATGGTGGTAATATTTATGAAACTTAGGTGCAATTAGCCAATTACCATGCTACTAACTCTTAATCAGGATTAACATTCTCATGTTCATATAGTTGACTTAACTTGTAAGTGACAAACTTGCCTCGTTGCATCAATACTAAGTCTAATTCGAACTTCAAGTTATCACTGAAAACCACAAAGTTTTCTAATACTTTTGACAACCATCAAATTTTTACATAACTTTACCTTTGATTCCAATAACTGAAATACTTATTCCTTCTAACCCCAATCCAACTTGCTGTGTTGTTTAGGTGAATGTTGACATTAAAATATGCAACTTATGGAACTCTTAATGAATCCTCGACAATAGTTTAGTAACCCAAATAAATTTCTATCCTAGTTACTAATCTTGGTTGCTTTAAATCTGACATGACCTCTAAGCTTGTTGGCTTTTACTTAGATGTCCTTCTTGTCAACTATGTGACCAAGAAAACTGAAAACTTTGCTCTACAACTCACTAAGTTTTCTTCTTATATATTCTCTTCTTCAACGGTTGTGGGATCAACTTTTGTTGTTATACATGCTTAGACTTATTTATCAAACAAGTGAGCCGACTACCACTAACAACTATAACGACTTCTTTAAGTATGGTCCACACAATATGCTCACTAGGTCCATAACGTTATTGTCCTGTTTCTCAACCCATATGGCGTTACTAAAAGCCCATGATTTTAAATTAAAGTTATATGGACAAATGTTACTTCAAAATATGTAACATTTAAGTTGATCTGAAATAATAAATCTGTTGTCTAAAAACTTTGAGAAATTTGTATTTAAACAATATACAAGCCTATATACTTTCGAGATCTTAACTCTCTTGGTGTAGTGTAGAGAGTCATCTATCTATCTGTGCCGTCCATGTACATTGATAATAGAATGTGCAAGTTACTTAACTAAACTGAATATTCATGTGTATAGAGGAACCCTCGCGGTACATGTACCATTTATGCGTCTTTACAATGCATTGCTTAAGCCACCGATATTCGGTACATGACCCTTCACATACATACCCAATTTAACATGCATATCTGAAAGCTAACAGATGTCAACTACAAATAGATATATGAAACAACTCAAGTTCTGACTAGAACTACGGGTGCTATTAAAGTCAGATTTTCCTTGATGTTTCTAAATTTGAACACTTATATGTCTAACCTTCGGGCCTAATCCCATACTATTGTTCTTACATACTCTCAACATTCTTACTTCTGAGTACCTTACTTGCGTTTTTAATACTAATCATCTTTAAAAGAAAGAAATTAGATCAATTCTAACTACACTTAAACTTACTGCATTGTAGCGCAATGCCATACTGTACTTACATTGTGTAATGTTGCATCTAACATATGTTATGCAAATATTGATCTTTGTGATATTGCTATTGATTCATATCTAAACCCGAGACATCATTCTTACAACTAACAATTCGAGCTTAGGCTATAGATCATAACCCATTTCCCTTGAACTACTGCTCTGATACCACTTGTAACGCCCATATTTTTACCATGAGAACTGTTACGTAATCTAAAACAGATTCTCCAAAAGCACTTCAAAAATAATGGCCAAATTAAAATTTTAAGCCGTTTACAATGAAAGACTTTAAAAAAATAAATATATAACTTAATGTCAGCCCATCCCATACCAGATTGCTTTACAAATCTATCTATCATAGATGATTGCACCTAAATATTGAACTTAAATGGACTACACAAGCCTCAATGTATTCCCTTGTTGATCCTCTCTCTTAGTGATTTGATGATAGTCCATTTTCACTTATACGTTGTATTTATGTTTCTGTATTTTCAGTTCCAGCGATCATCACTAAATCTGTTCAGTGATTGCTGAAAAACTTGTATTGTAAATCAATCAGAGACAGCGATACTTCAAGAAGACAACACTCACACCAAAGAACCTTTAGCAAACATCGAAGACTGAAATTGAAGATTAGAGACTGGCGAGTACGTGATCTGAAGCAGTCCTCAGTGATTACAAGCCTGTCTACAAATGTATGAAGACTGCTCAAGCCTCAACGAATGCTGAAGAGACCTTCAGGTCATTCCAGCATTCAGCGATCAAAGGAAGTTTGCTTAGCACGACTGTCGTTGTCTTGTCCTTATGCACACAAAGGACAAACCCATACCCTTATGAAAGTTGGTACGGTACGGAGCCGACTAGTCAACTCTATTGTCAACCAACTTTAGGTAAGGATGTCTGCTCATAAATAGTGCTTTTTATACTATTCATTGTAGCAAAGGACAAGCCTTCCTCTTAAGGCTTGACACGCACTCTAACTCTACCATATTGCATTAAATGAACATTTAATGCACTGGGTATAAATAGAAGTGTTTCTTCTCCATGCAGAGTGCGCGCAACTCACTCTCTAAACCTAATTCTTTCTGCAAGCATTTTCTAGCTTAAGTAAAAGATCTCCTTTTTACAACATTTCTTTTCTTGTATTGCTAAGAATTCGTGTGTAACCAAAGATTGTTTAGATAAGTTTTTATTACCTTATCTTTCCGCAAACAATCTTGTAAAATCTGTATTGATCTTCTTTATCAATATGTATTTTAAATTTGAAAATATTATGTTTGTATTCACCCCCCCCCCCTTCTACAAACTGTTTTACTATTCTTGTAGACCCTCAAAGGACCAACAACCCTTCTTTTTCTTTGTCCAACCTAAAACCTTCTGTTCCTGAGATGCATATTATAGTCAGCTTATAAAGCTCAGTAAGTTCATGGTTTGCGTGAGTAAAGATCATTTCACATCATACATATCAACTTGTAAACTTTGTACCATACATTATGCATTTTATGAAAAGCATGCAACACTAAAAGAAAAGAGATCTCATAAATTGTCTGTCGGGTATGAGTCATTTAGTCACTGCTATTCCCTGAGTTGTCCGACCTGCACCTGTGTAGACACTCATTACGGGGTTGTGCCACTTGTCATGTGACTTACTGGTCAAATGCCCACCCGTTAAAACTGATCATAAAACTTTCATATGAAATAACAATCTATAGTTATTTGAAAATAAAATAAATACATAGCAGACAACTGATCATAAAATAACATACATGTAAAATATATCATGTATTGAAACATCATGCATATGTATACATTACCATATAAATCATATAATGTTCGAAAATAGATTTATACATAGGTATGCATCCCATTGTAAGTCTCATGAATACTCACCTGATTGCGTATAAATTGACTACCGATAGCTCTTGACCAAATGCCTACACATTTCATACCATAATATCTCATTAACGTCTTAATTTCTAAAAAAGTCAACAATTGTCATTCTGACCCAACCTAAAGTCAAATTTCGTATTCGATCATTTTAATATGCCTCAAACAGCTCTATTTAACTCATCATTAAAATCCACATGAGTCAAATGTGCCAAAAGTCAACCCTTGGTCAACTCAGTCAACCCCGACTAACTTTAGTCAAGCCCCAAGCCTAAAACTCGATGACATACCACAAAAACAGTTTAATATCTTATAATCTCATCTCCGTAAATTAAAACGTCTCAATAATTACTTTACTCAAATTACGGCGTTTAAATCATCAAAACAATTTACTGATTTATATAAGCATCCTCCTTAGAAAATAAATAATTAACTAATATTAATATTCAAAAAATAAATTAATATATTAATTAAATACTAATTCAATTTAATATATTAATTAACTTAAAATTTAAATTAATTAGTTAATATAAACTAATTAACTAAATCTGAAATTTATTAACTTGGATAAATTAACAAAATCCTATAACTTAAGTACTTAAATTGAGCCCCCCAAAAAAAGATATGGACTTCTTTTGTTAAAACAATAAGGGTGCGTTTGGTGCGCAGACAGGACAGGACAGGACAGCTGTTCAGCGTTTGGTAAGACATGACAGGACAGGACAGGACATGTTAAAATGACCAATTTACCCCCAGTAACCTGTTTAGTGTTTTTTTCACTAAATAATCAATATAATAAATGCTTACAAATACTATTTAAAAATACCAAAAAATTTCCAAAATCAATCTTAATTAAAAACTCACATTAATAAATCAAAAGATTTAAACATCATATTCACAAACAAAAAGTGAAATGTTTACCAACAGACCTAAACACAAAAGATCAAATGTTTACAATTGTGTAGCAAAAGACTTCAACACAAAAGATCAAATGTTTACAATTGTGTACCAAAAGACCTAAACACAAAAGTTCTAATGTTTACAATTGTGTACCAAAAGGCTTCAACACAAAAGATCAAATGTTTAGCAACCAACATCACATGTCTAACTTTTTTAAGATAGTCGCCACAAATTTTGGCTTCAAAGTAGCGTTCATGYTATTCCATAGGCGTAGTTGAATCGGGTTATCGGCAAAGTACATGCTAATAGCAATWACTTGATCATCATCAAAACCCATGTTGGTTAACTCATCGGGCATAGTTTGTAAACCCGGAGTACCAACAACCGATACCAACTTACCCATTTCCTCGGATAATACATTCAACCCCTTCTCAATCACCTTCATTGCATCTTCAGAAACGCCCGCTTTTCTCTTTTTTTTTTTTTTTATGATGCTTCTACATCTTGTGGAATAGAGGATGCAGAAACGCCATTAGAAGGAGTAGTCAAAGGCACGTTCAATTCATCAGTATCAGCCCCGACTGCACTATCAAGATTTATGTGTTCCAATGCATCTGTGGCAGATTCCGCCATCGATCATGTGGCTCGATCTTTTCCAAATATTGTTTTCAGTCGTTCATATTGAGGAAACGGCTTGTTGGCAATATAATTTTTGCTTGGAAGTTTCTATAAAAAAATGCATAAATATGAGCATTACCTTTAACTATGAAATAATAGCATAACAAATATAAGCGTTACCTTTAAGTATTCCTCTAAAACTTGAGCATCCACTGTTACGCATTGATGTGCATCATCCCAACCGAATCCACTTGTATTCAGCATGTCATAAGCTGCTGAATACTTATCCTTGAGCCTCTTCATTTTGTTTTGGATGTGTTTTGATGTTATATTAAGGCCCGAAATCTTTTCACGCATCTTTAAAACAATTTGCTCATACGAGTCGGTCCGAAAACACCCATTATCACTCTTACCACCGGCGGCTACAATCTCTTGTAGAATGCTAATTAGTACATCCTCTTCTTGGATATTCTAATTACGTCTATCCGCCATCTTAGAATAATACATTATGATAACATTTTAAAATTCAATATTAGCAACAAAATAATACATTATGATAACATCTTAAAATTCAACATTAACAACATTTTAAAATTCAACATTAACAACATTTTAAAATTCAACATCTAAAACATAAATAATACAATACATTGAGTACATTTATGTACTTGACATCCACGACTCAAACATCTCTTRDGCTATGTCATCTCTCCATTGAGTCCACTCATTGCTCGATTCAACAACATCAATAGATTCAACATCATCGTTGGATTCMACTTGCTCTTCCCCTATAGGCATATCTTCTAGTGTAAGTGTCGTGTTTTCTTTCGGATCAAGAACCATGTACATCCTAATAAAATTATGTAGCAAAGCATATGCTATGACCATCCTTCCTTGAAGTTTTATTGGATAGAAAGGACTTCGTAATATGGCCCAACGCTTCTTCAAAATACCGAAACACCTTTCTATGATATTCCTAGCTTGTGAGTGTTTCATGTTAAAATGTTCTTCCTTATTTGAAGGTGTATGACCAATGTGTTCCCATTCTCGTAAATGATACCTAGTACCTCTATATGGTGCCAAAAATCTGTTACCATTGACATATCATGCATCAGCCAAATAGTAATTACCCATTGGGACTTTTAAACCATTAGTTCGTGTAGCCGCATCTCGTAGTACGCTAGAATCGGTAGCTGGACCTTCCCAACTAGATAAAACATAGATGAAATTCATGTCCCGAGTGCATGCACCTAATACATTAATCGCAATATGACCCTTTCTTGTTCGGTATCGTGGTTTACCGGACTCAGGTACAATCACTTCAATGTATGTTCCATCTATTGCTCCTAGACAACCCTATAAAGAAAATAACTTGGTTTTAGCTAAATGGTAAAAAATTTATATCACATGTAATGAGAGAAGCTAACAAGGATTACCTTAAACCACTTCCATCTTCTGTCGGTACAATCATCCTCTACCGGAGTTTGTTTGCTAAACAAAATGTCTTGCAATCGCAACAAAGCACTTAAAACTCGATGAACATACCTACTAATTGTTTCCCCCGACCTATAAACTCTAACTTGAAGACATCTATTTTTGGTGTGATGTGCTAAAATGTTTACAAATGTAGCAACTTGTTCTTCAATTGTCACGTTACCATCATCTAATAGTCCACCCCGTGTTTTTAGCAACTCACACAAAATAGAAAATGCATTCTTATCCATTCGCAACTCATTCACACAAATAATGTCACTTTCACGTGTGATGCGTTGGATTTCTATCGATCTAATTTGTAATCTAGTGAATGTTCTTTGCCTTAAACTTCTCCTCCAATCTTGTCTTTGTTCATATTCAATTAACCAATTTGCAAAATTGACCAAAAGTATGAGCAAGTCGATATAAGATTTCAACACTTTAACAACTACAAGTACATGGTTTCGATCCATTGTACATAAAAAAATAATGAGATTGAGTCACTATAAAATGTTTAAAAAATGAGATGGAGTCACTAGCATAAATCAAGTAGCATAAATCAAGTAGCATAAATCAAGTAGCATAAAGCAGTAAAATGTGCATTAACTGCTTGATTGAGATTGGCACCATGCTCCTGATACCAAAAAGACAAATGCAGTACAACATAAAGATCCAAGTTGAAAACCAGGAAAAAAGAAAACAGCAGCTTCAACATCAAATATTAATGCTAGGGGAAGACCAAATTCAACATTAGTTTGTGGCAGTGAAGAACAATGTTTTTTTCTGGTGAAAACAAACGGTTTTGGTATGACCAAGTGAGCACAAGAAGAGTAGTATTTGTGTAGCATTTTATATGTACACCATTGCACACAAYTGGAAACAGATGTTTAGAACCAAATACAGTAAGGCTATACAGGACAAAGATTGCACTCATGATGGACAAAGTTGCATTGAAATGCCTAAATAAAATATAACATAAGCAAGTCCATGACCAACTTCAATGAGCTGCATCATCAACATCAGATCACCATTTGGTGTCCATTTTCTCAAGCTAAACATGTAACCAGTTATCCTAAAACTAAAGAGCTTGTTGATGGCTGTTAATTGTGAACTCTGTGAACTAGCAACCATCCTAGAGGAGCAATAGGTTAGAGAATATAGTCGGTGTTTTAAACAGAAAAATGCATGACCACAAGAAAAAAGTTGGCTATGCACGGCCACAAAACAAATGAAACAGAAACACAGCTTACTAAGGTATCTTGTGGTAACACTTTCATTTTGGGAGAGAAAGGAATTAGGGTTACCCAAACAGAGCTCATTCACTACTCACATATCGATAATGCGTACCTGAGTATGGAGAGAAGAGAAGCAACAGTTGATGAACAGTCGAGAAGAGATGGTCGTCGTCCGTCGATTGGAACTTACCATCGAGAGGAGATGGTCGCCGTCTGTCGATTGGAACTCGCCGTCGACAGGGAGGAAGCGATGGAGGCGATGGAGGCGATGAAAAGGGTTAGGTCATGATAGCCGGGTGGGAAAAAGGGTAAAGAGGGAAATATATTGAGTTCCACTTAGTTCCAGGGGGTAGGATGGAACACGCGTATCCTATGTTTATCCAAGTTAGTTCCACTTAGTTCCACATTCAGCCACACCAAACATAGGACAAATGTGTTCTGTCCTGTCCTGTCCTACCCTGTCCAGCGTACCAAACGCACCCTAAGTGATCTAATATATAGTCCATCAAGTATCTTTGGCCAACATTAATAAAATAAAAGAGGAAGCCCAACAAACGTGGCCCAACAAAAGCCAGCAACCAGCGAACAACAGAGGCAAACGTGGTCACGCCGGCAACAGGAAAAAACAGGTCGTTTGGTTTCGTTTCTTCATCGTTTTCGATAATTCTTTTTGTAAAATCTCTAGAAAATGATTTTCCTCAACCATAGGAACAAAAATCAACAAAAACCATCAAGTATTGAGTCTCATTTTAGCTCCAAAAACCACTTGAAAATCATATAAAAACTCGAAATCGAACATTCAAAACTAAAATCTGAGACATAAGGCTACTAAAGTTTCATAGAGGACCTAAAAACGAAGCTAACCATATAAATAACTCCAAATTTGGTCGAGTATTTTACCTCCAATAGTCAATAAACGAAGCTTTTTAAACTCGAACTTCAACCTCCGATTTCTCTTTCGAAACCCGACGAAACTTCAGTTTTCTTGAAGCAAAAGTGTAGATAAAAGTGTTGTCTACGTATATCTGTATTTTTTTGTCTTAATAGTTGAAAATTCAAACTAATTAGAAGCTTCAACGGAGTTGTCGTTTTCAAGTTTATGAAAAATTGCAGATCTGGTATATTTACAAAACAGGTCCTTCTGGTTTGGACCTGTTAACATCTGACCCAACCCTTTAACTATCATAAAAACGTATTCGGCCCCCTAGATTTATTACTTTTGACAACTTTACATATTTCACCCCTAATATGACATTTTCCTTCATTTTTAATCCGATTTTCAAATATATTTATATTTTTTTATCCAATAAAATAAAACTCATTTTATTTTTTTTCCTTGTTTTTTTGCTTTCAAATTTATTTATATACCTCATTTTGGGGTGTTACAAATATAGGTTTGGCAAACAAATAGCCCATTTGCCTTAGGCGAAGAGCATCATGAACTTCTGCTTATCGCTTACACATAGATTTGACAATATCAAAGTCCAAAATTTCGACTGAATCCAAGAAACTCATTGAATAAACCTAATTTTGATGAACAAAATAGGTTCATATTCACCCAAGAACAAAATCTTTAAAAGGAATTTGATTGAAAAATTAAGAATAAGATGAATCGATGAATTTTTGGTCCAAATAGTAGTCGAACAGCAAGCAGTTCATGAATGAGTATTGCTCAAAAATCTTGAATCTACTACAGAAAAATAGATCAGATCGATAGAAGTTAATCTATTTGGCTCTAATACCACTTGTTGGCCCAGATTTGACAGTTAAACAAGTAAAAGGAATTGAAAATGAGAGATTTGTAGAAGAAGATGGATAGAAATTGGTCGCCGCTTTCTTTATTGAATATGAACTCTCTCAAAAACCTAATCGGCTCTTATGTGATGTTTGTGTGTATTCCGTGTATTTGATATTTGTCAAAATTCACTTCTATTCTAGCCTATATCACCTCTTATATAGGCAATGTTTACATGGTAAGTAAATCCTATAAATATGGAAATAATCATTGTCGAAAATAGGACCAACACCATCCTTCTAGATTCAGTCTACATGCACTTGGCTGCTCTAAGCATAGTTGTCCAGAGCACGGAACAACCAGAGGAACAGTTCATACAGAGGAGCTCTGTATTTGTGGAAGACCTAGAGGCTCTGCATGTACTATGTTGAGGCTCTGTGTCTACGCTCTATATCCAAGAACTTGGCGTTTAGGCGCAGACGCATGTGACAGTCTTCTAGTCCTTTATATCCGAGTACCTGTGCTCTAAGCCCGAGATTGCTTACTCTATATCCAAGTGCACAAGCTCTTCGTCCGAGTACCTGAGCTCTGGTCGTCCAGAGAGCCTCTTAGTCATCTAGAGAGCCTCTGTGTGCTCTTCCAGACTTAGTCATTTTAGCTCACCACAACTCTGAATCTTCCATCCTTAGCCTGTATTGCTTTAATAAAACTTTCAAAATAATTAGGACCAATTTTGATCCTAAAATAAAGAACTATCGAGATAAATCTAAGCGCTTAATTGGATTAAGCCAGAGTACATACATTGAAAAGATCTTGAAACGCTTCAAGATGGAGGGTTCCAAGAGAGGAAACTTGCCAATGGTCCATGTCATACAACTGAGCAAAACTCAGTGTCCTAGCACTAAAGAGGACATAAACCGTATGAAGGGTGTTTCCTATGTTTCGGTCATCGGTTCAATTATGTATGTCATGTAATGTATTAAACCGGACGTCTCGTATGCCCAAAGCATGACGAGTAGATATCAGTTGAACCCAGGTGATGCTCACTAGGTAGCAGTGAAAAGTATCCTAAAGTATTTGAGAAGAACTAAGGATATGTTCTTACTATACAACGGTCAAGAAAGAGATTTGTGTACCCAAGGATATACAAATGATAATTTCCAAACTGACCGGTGATGACTTTAAATCACAATCGGGATATGTGTTTGTATTAAACGGAGGAACTGTGAGCTGGAAGTGCTACAAGCAAAGTACAATAGCAGACTCAACTACATAATCAGAGTATATTGCAATGTCAGACGCCGCGAAGGAAGCTACTTGGATGAAGAAATTTATCTCAGACCTAGGAGTGGTTCTTAGCATATGTGACCCTGTCGAGATTTATTACGACAATGAGGGTGTCATAGCTTAAGTGAAAGAACCAAGGTCACATCAGCGCTCCAAGCATATTCTAAGACGATACAACCTAATTCGAGAGATCATTGATCGAGGTGACGTTAAAATACGTAGAGTTCGAATAGAAGATAATCCAGCAGACCCTCTAATCAAGCCTATGAGTCAAAGCAAGCATGATGCTCAATTCTATTCAATAGGCTTGAGGTTTTGTAAAACACTAGTCTGATTTTTAATTTTAGTAAGCTTTAAATTATTTGAACATAAAACAGTTATGTTTTTATCTGTTTTAGCATATTGGATATGAGTATTTACATTAAACATTTATGTGTTCATTATTAGCATGTTTAAGTATCCTTAAATAAAAATGATGATCATATTGTTTAAAACCGTCCTTGATTGATTACTACCAGGGGACTGGTAACAAATAAAGATCATTGTGAAGTCTGGTCATAGTTCAAGTTGGAAGTACATTGGTTGCAACCATAGTCACATACACATGTATAAGGGGCAGGTGTTGGACAAGACCCACAATCAGGATCACCTCATAGATCGGCGTCATAAGATGAGTCATAAAATGGTGGACACTCCTATCCTTAGACCTAATATGTACATTGGTACCTACTGCAGAAAGAGTGTTATACTTTGATGTAGTATAACGTTATCCTTAACCGGGTAATCATAAGGGCTATATTGGGTATGACACAAATTGTGTATAAGTCATGTACATGCAATATGGGATTTGCTCCTCCCAAGTTGAGAGAGATATTTTTGGGCCCCTCGATAACATAGTTTGATTCACATGGCCATAGATAATTGAATTAGTTAAACTAATAGTACATGTCTGAATCAAATATGTTGGAATCAAGAAACATAATTTTTGAACTCTAACGGATGAGATAGATCTATGTCTTAATTTCAAAACATAATATCGTGAAGCAAAAGGATTAGAGGATGATACTACCATATGATTGATTGAATCAATCAAAATTGCTCTAAGGAAAAGCACATTTACATAGCCTTGGGGCCGATGACGTGTTGCTAGATGCTTACCATCGTTTGTGTTACTACGTGTCATGTGCAAGTGGGAGAATGTAAGTTATTATATACC